GATGCACCGTGCATTCTAATACTTTCTTTCAGAACCAGCATCACCAGCATCTTTTTGGCAATTTGAGCCACAGTCGCTTTTCTGTTTGATGGAACCACACAGACCACCCTTCACTCCCTACGTGCATTAGTCCCTGGTTCACCACTGTTCCTTACTCACGTTCATGTCACACACAAGGTTACAGCAGAAATCATCATCAGAGACTCATTAGACCAGGACATGTGTTTCCCGTCTTCTGTTCTTAGCTGACAGGAGTAAAACTTGTGTGGTCTTCTGGTTATTTGAGTCCCTTTTTCATTCTGGCAATTCTCCTCTGTCGTCTGACATCAACAAGGCCTGTTCATGCTAACTGGATGTTTTCTTCTTTCTGGACCATTCATTTTAGGTGATAATGGGTGGGAAAAAAGTGAAGACATTATACATTATTTACACCTAAGATGAAAAATTAGATGCAGGGACTTTGCAGCTTGTCTGTCTAAATTTGTACGAGTACAATGAGGCTCATGAAAGAGGTGCAGATTAAAGAACTGTTGTTGGAGGTAAAAAACACACAGATCAACATCTATTTATGTTAGAGCGCCCTCTAGTTGATGATGGCATGTTGTGACACTGGATTTAAATCAGTGTAACAAAAATCAATTCTCTGTGTTCTGTGGAAATTTGACAGATTTAAAACTCTGTTTTTTTTACTTTCATATTATAAAGTAGAATATGCAAGAAAACAAATTGGTAATCTGGAAAAGGACTAATGTTTGTGGATGTGGAATGTGGAAATGTGGAAAACCTGATATTAAATGTTAGGAAGTGAAAGCTAGTGAGTTGAAGGAGGTGCAGGATTGCAGTAATGAATTTGATCTCCACATGAAAACCCTTTAACTGTGAAACTGTTTCATGGTTCTGATTTTTGATATTTTTTGCTAAATAATTGTCTCTCTGACTCTGAATATAGTTTCTGGATCATTTTGACACTTATTTCTACACTCTGTACAGAAGGTACCTGGAGGATTTTCACATGACAAGCTGCTTATTAGAACACATAAGTTGTTGACTACGTATTTCGGTTTCAGGTGACCAATAAAAATAAAGTTCTGGCTCTCTCCATATTCATTTAGTAGCAGTCAGTTTTCGCACCTTTGACACTGACTTAAAGAAAGCATGTTTCTAAACGAGTTTGTTTATGTCTGTTTCAGACATAAACAGAAAGATGCCAAAGAACAAAAGATGCAACGAGCAATGACGTGCAGACATTATGTAGATAAACCTGTTGATAATCGATAAACTCGATAAACTTTCACAGCGTGAATCA